AGATACTTTTTTTTCTTTTTTCTCAGAAATACTACCTTTGAAACTTCTGTTCCTTCTACTCTAATTGGAGCAGTTCCTTTCTCTGCTGGCTTCAGAGCTGTTTTCTTACGACTGCTATTCACCATCATCCAGGGAATTCTTTTTGCTTTTTTTTTTTACGTTGGATCCCTTATTCTCTGGATCCCTATTCTTTCCCACCCCCTTCCCTCCCTTGGTTTGTTATTTTTATTTTGTGCAGCACGTTCTTCATTAGCTTTCTGAGAAAGGGTACATGGGAAATAAAAATTTAAAGACCTTGCTTATATGATACTGTTTTTATTCTTTCTTCATATTTGATTAATAACCTTGGCCTCATGTAGAATTTTAGGTTGGCAAGATTTTTTTCTTAGCATTTTGAAGGCCTTATATTACCATTGAGCTTTCAGAGTTGCTTTTGAGACATGAATGTCATGTATTTGCTCAGTCCTGTGTATGCTTCACTTTTTATTTTTCTTTTTCCTGTTTCTTTCCTTTCTCTCCCTTCTTTTCTCCCTCCTTTCATTTCTGCCTTCCTATATGCCGTGATCAGATTCCTTAAACTCTTTGTATATTAATGTGTTCCCGTATTAAAATAGGCATATCTGTTGTACCTAACTCTTGGGCAAAGCTCTTATGCAAGTACCTGGCACAGGGTCATAAGTGCTCAGTAAATATTAACCATTATAATTTTTCTTTGAAGTTGTCTTTTCTCTGCAATTTTTCTTTCCTGTCAGTTCCTTTTTTTTTGCCTTATTTTGGCTCTAAGTTTTATGTTCGAGGCTTTCCTCAACTATCTCTTGGTCTGTACTAACAATTTATATTTACGAGTGAGGTGCTAAAAAGCTGATGGGGAGATGAGGGTACTTTTTGACATGCAGGCTTCACTGTGGACTGATTGCACAGTGAGTTGCTCTTTTTGTTGGCTCCTACCCTACCCTCCCCCACCCCGACCTAAACTGTCAGCATTTGTAGGGCTTTTCCACAGTTACTTCTTGTATCTTGGAGGGACTTAATTTGGTTGCCAGTGTGTGGGAGCTAAGGGGGAGAAGGGTGCTGTGGGTCTCCTCAGTCAATGTGTGCACTCTCCCTTAACCTTTCTCTTTTCAGTGTGACAGCCCCACCGCACCCACACAGTGCCCTCTGCTATGCTTGAGACTTGGTCGGGAGTCTCTCTGGTTCGGTTTCTTCAGAAAATAAACCTCTGTCTCCTGCCAGGTTGGGGGCAGGCTAGTTGTGTGATGCTTATACAGACTTTCAGTCACTCCTCTTATTTTTAGTCCTTTACCTCATCTCCACCTTCTGTGGTACTTGGTGCCTCCAGTTTTGGAATCTCCTAGTTTCTGTGATGTGGACACATTGATTTTTTTTCTCTGCATACTCATAGGTTCAGCTTCCTCTGCCCTGCTAAATCTGTTTTCCATCCAACAGAAATGGGCAGATATCTCTGGTCTCCTTTGGTCACCTCTCCCCCTTCTTTGTGTCATTCTGGATTTACTAGTTTTCTATCTCTTCACTATTATTTTAGTAGAGTTTTTTTTTTTTAAGATTTATTTGTATATTTGAGAGAGAGAGGGAGCACGTGAGAGAAGTGTGTGTGTGGTGGGGGAAAGGGACAGAGGGAGAGAGAGAATCTCAAACAGACTCCCCAAGGAGTGCAGAGCCTGATGTGGGGCTGTATCTCATGACCCCAAGACCATGACTTAGGCCGAAATTAAGAGTTGGATGCTCAACTGACTGAGCCACCCAGGTGCCCTTATTTTAGTAGAATTTTTGAAAGATTGCAGAGGTAAATGTGTAACTTCAGTTCTTCGTGTTTACACGCTTATTAAATTTAAGGGTACTGAGTACTATGTTCTACGTGTGTGTATCTATGTTTAAAAAATTCCTTACCTTTCAAAGAATGAATGTATTTATTGACTCTAGTTTTAATTTATTCATTCTTAAGTTCTTAGTTTTCACAGGTTAATAAGTTTATCTGACCATTTTAGCAGTTGGAGTTGCTCAGCCAAGTAAACTCTATATTCGTTCTTTGTAAAATTGAAAATATTATGGTGCTTAATGTGTCACTGTCATCAAAAGTTGATGGATCTCTTGCAGAGTGTGTGGACACTCTAATATTGTGCAGATTATTTTTATAAATATTTAGCCTGGTCACTTTCAGATGATGTCAGCCTGTCTTGCTAAGATGTCTTTTATGCACGGATTATAATGACTGTAGATCCATGTTGTTTAATAGAACTTCCTGCGATGATGTAAATGTTGTTACTTGTTTTGTCCAATAAACAGAGTAGCCATTAGCCACATGTGGCTATAGAGCACTTGAAATATGGCTAGTATGACTGGGAAACTGAATTAAAAATTTTATTCAATTTTAATTTATTTAAATTTAAGTTAAATAACCACAGGTGACTGGTAGCTACCATATTGGACAGCACAGTTCTAGATTCTGATAGTATGTGCTAAGTTTTTGGTGCAAATTATTTTATATTTTTAATCACTTGAATTAGTTTGGAATAACGTATCCAGCTGAAGAAAAGGAGTTAGCAGAGTTATCCTAAATTTGCTTATTATAATTAGAACTACATTTTTTCTTTGGATTTACATAAGAATAAAAATATGAAGACTGCAATTTCAGAACTGAAAATAAAATGTGTTTTAGGTTGGTGTATCATGCTGTTTTATTTGGGGGCTGATAAGAGACAGAAAGTGAAAGTTGAAATTATTATTTTGGTACCTCTCAGGAATTTTCTTCCATCCTACAAAAGAAAGGAGAAGTACTGTTTGACTCAAAGCCTGGTTTGGATTTAATATTTTTTATATCCTCAAAGACAGTCATAGTAGTGTTCTGTTTTGCATTTTTAATGTTTGAATGAAAATATTGTGTTTGTGGTATCAGACTTCTTTGTGAACTAACTGCAGGTTAATACATAAATTACTTTTAAATCTGGGATTGTAGTAAATGTAAAATTAATCTTTGGCTAACTAGAATTATGCCATTAGTTGAGGTCTGTGCTGAGTTTAGTGTTGCTAAATTGGTCAAATGCAATCAATTGTATTGTATTAAAGTGAAAAATTCACAGGACTGGAAACATGGCTTTGATTGCAGAACATTACCATTTTGCTTAATCTTTTTTAGTAAAATATAGCTTTTTGGAATAGTGGTTAGTACAGTTACCACTGTACATTTAGTTTAGCAAAATATACAATATTTACTATTCTTATAGTAGTATAATTGTTGACTAACAAGGGAATATTATTCAGACACTTAGAAGATAATATTAAGTAGTTCTTTCAGATTCTTTTTGTTCTTCTCTGAAGGCCTCAGTTCACTTTTATTCCTTCATTCTCAGAAGGTGATTTCTTCTCCGATTTCATAGAATGTGAATATTCTCTCATTTTCTTGTCCTTCTTGCTTATCAACTTGCAGTCATTACTGATCCAACCAACCCTTGCATTAGAGTGGGAAAGGTGTCCTGTTTCCTGATAAAAGACCAGATACCTATAACTGTGCTCTTAAAATCCCTTTTTACCTTCTCATGGATCTTGTATGCCTGTTACCCTCCCTCTTTTTTGTCATTTCAGTGTTTCTGGTGTGTTTTTTTCTTTTCTATTTATCTTTTAACAAGTTCAGCCTTTCTTCATCATCGGGTACAGATATATACATCGTAGAAGCAAGACCCTTCTAATCCCTTCTTCCTTTTTTTGAAAGAGCTGCTGATACTTCTTGTCTCTAATTCTTCCATTCCTAGCAATCTGTATTTTCATAAGCCTTCCACATGATTTTGATCCTAGTCTATACTTGTGGATCAGTCAAGTAGTTCACTGTCATTGTTATAATTTGGGAGCACAGGTTATAGTATTTAGAAGACAGCGTACACTTACACAGAGAAGAATCAACTCTTGGTTGAGATGGTGTTTAAAGCTAGAAGCAGTAGTTTTTGGTGAATTAGTTAGAATTTGGTTTGGCTATGAGTTCTAGAAAACCCAAAATACCAGAGACTTAAAAAGGTGGAAGTTTATTTCTTCTTATACGCACAGGTAATCGGGTTCAATGACTCCCATGATTCTCAAGGAACTAGGCTTCTTCGTTGCTCTGCCATCTTCAACTCTCAGCTTCTATTTCATAGTTCAGTCTGACTGCTGTGGCTAAAGTCATCCTTTTTCATATTCTGGTGAGCAGGAAGGGAAAAAGAGGAGAGGCCATATCTCTTCCTTTTAAAGAAACTTCTAGCAGTGGCCCAGAACTTTAAGTCCCTTTGGCCGGAATTTAGACATTGGTCACATCCGGTTGTAAGCTTATTTCAGATAGCCATGTGTGAAGATATAATTCATGGTTTTTAAAAGGGATTGCATAACAATCCATGATTTGGATTCACCATAAATGACTTACTTCCTTATTGTTAGACATTTAAGTTGCTTGTGAGATTTTTTTACTGTAACATAGTACAAATCAACAACTTAATGTCTTAAAAAAATGAATCAGTGGGCATAAAAACTACATGTTAGAATACTGAGTATTATAGGAGAGAACTTGGAAGTAGCAGAAATAACATTTTGAGAGTTTTTCTCTAAGTCAAGAAAGTAAAGATCCCGTAAAGAATAGTGGAAAGGAATACTTTGTAAAATTTGGATGTTAGTCATCCTTAAAGAAAATTAAATCAATATTTAGTATTGCTGGCTTACACAAACTAATGTGGTAAAATAAGTGTAGATAATTTACATTTTTTTTTCTTAAGAGTGTATAAATGCTTTAAGTGTCAAGCATTTACTGGTGTCTAAATTATATTGATTTTTTTTTTTTTTAGTACTGAAATGACGTTTTATTTTGTTTGGAATACAGATCTTTCGCTTTAAATTGTTTCTTTTCTAATAAAGTGTTACTATATGAGCTTTTATTTAAATTTAGGAACTAAATAAATAAAAAGTTGTGTTCATTTTATATATACTTTCACTAGGCTAACTATACTTCTCTTGATTTGCAGGCCTTTTTGCAAATGTGTAATCTGCCTATCAAAGTGGTTTGTAGGGCAAATGCAGAATATATGTCTCCGTCGGGTAAGTTTTTAAAAATTCTGTTAATATTCTGCATTGATAAAATTGTAGTGCTGGTCCAGTTTGTACCTACTATTTTAGAAGTCCCATTTTTGTTGTTTACCCTTGGAATAATTTTCCCATGGTTTTGTAAAGTAACAGTTGTAAACTTGATAGTCTTTAGGTGGACATGGCTATTCGTTTCAACTCTGTGGTGTTAGTCAGTTACTGGAAAGTTACAGAAATTGTTTTAAGTAGTAAATAGTAAGAAAATACATAATCTCAGATATACCCAGTCTTATTTACATAGGACCGTTTCCACGTCAGAAAACCAATTTTGATAATAATGTATCCATTCATTATTATTATTATTATTATTATTATCCATTCATTCATTATTATCCACACTTCTCTAAACTATGTTCTATTATATAGAGGGAAGAAGAGAGATTATGGAATAATTAAATTTACTTGTCAAAGATCTTAAGTTCATCTCTGAGTGCTTTTGGTTTGTAATGACTTCTTTTTGTTTAATTTTATTTCAACAGGTTTTAAGATATCTATTAAGCTTTTAGCCTTTTTCCTATTTTTTATAATCAGTATTGCCTTTTCTGTGTGTCATATTGTAGATTAGGGTAAAGTTTTAAATAAATATGGTTCAGATAATTTTTAACATCAAAATATAGTGCCACAAAGCTGATAAATAAATGTTAACTAGAATTGGTAAGGATTATAATTATGGTTCTGCTGATCCAATAATAACGTAGAATCACACCTTTATGGGTAAATCCATTGAGTATAAATGATTGGGATAAATATTGTTACATTGCTTTTTAGGGAGACATTTATCTCCTCACTCTGAAAATAACTTAGAAATGATTTGTATAAAACATTTTTTTTCTTTTCATCTTAGTTTCTTAAAGGTGGTAATAATTGTCAAAAGCTGTGAGAACAGCCTCCATACACACTGGAAAGTCTACATTCATACATCTACACTTACAGATTTATGAATATACTTTCTAAAACATCTCCATAAAAAAATTTCTGGACTTGTAAACATAGACATATTTTAGATTGTTGCAGGCCATTAATTGACTCATTTTCTGTTAATTTTGAGTGTAGGTTTTATAAACTTTTTGAATTCTGGTGAGATGAATCATATTGTGTTCTCTCTATCTTTATCCTTTATGTAGTTATACAAAAAGAGTGTAGCTACATGTAAAAAAGTTGATAATCTAATACTAAAGTTGATATCTTTGGCAAATGAGGAGAAGCCCTAGAGTTCATCCACCTGTTTCCCAAAAGGACTGTACTAAGTACCACACAGGTAGATATCTTTTTATAGACTCTATGAAAGACAAATAACTATTATAGAAGCTACAGAACATAAACACACACATGCAGACATACATTCATAGGAGTCTCCTGTAGGTAGATGAAAGTGGCACTTTCTGTTAAGGAATTTATTTAAATTTCATCATAACTCTAGTATTATTCTCTTTCATCATATGATTGGGGGGATCAGGGGAATGTTTTATTTGTTTGCTTGATCTTATTGTAGTAGATTTTTAAAGCAGAGAACATTGTGGAATAATTAGAAATCAAGTCACTCTTAGCTAAGAGTTAGGAAATTTTTACTCTAATCCTTTTGTGACCTTGTCACATATTGACAGTTTCCTTGGGAAATTTCACTTTTCTTTTTTGAGCTTCAGTGACTTCATCTGTAATATGTGGTGGTTGGATTAGATGGTATTTGGGCTCTTTTTATTTCAATATTTTGTGAATCACAGACTTCCTTGCTTTCTTCTTGCTTCCTTTGTTTAAGTCCTAAAAAATGATTATTCTGCCTAAAATATGAAATAGTGTCCTCTGTTTGTTTTTTTAAATTATCTTCAATTGGTGCCAGAGAATAAATATCTCACAGTGCTTTTCTTGATACCTGCAATAATAAGGATATAACATTGGCTCCACTTTAAGTCAGGCGAGTGACAAAAACGTTATTCACTTCTAATTTGTTGCCTTGATGTATATATTTCTTTATATTTAGGGATACATGAGTACTCATGTATTTGTTGCCTTGATGTATATATCAAGGCATGTAATGATGTATATATCAAGGATGTAATTTATTGCCTTGATGTATATATTTCTTTATATTTAGGGATACATGAGTACTCATTTGACTACCCACACTGCTTTCCTGCTTCAGAATCTACAGTACTGAAAGTATTTTTAAAAAGAGAAAATACAAACTCCTTCTTCCAAGAATGCCAGACTGGATATTAAAAATGAGAAATACATTTTCCTTTCAAAATATTGTATATGACCTAAAAATAGCCTTCAGTCTAGGCATTTATCCACGCATAGTTTTCATTCTCAGATCATTTTATCTCAGAGGACCTGTACTATTTCTAGCATTAGAGTACTTACAAAGATTTTATCTCAAGTTAAAAAACATTATGGCCTAATACCCAGATAAATTCTTTTCTTTTTTGCAAGATTTATAAAGCAGTAGAAGCAAGGAATGTGGAATTCAGTGTTTTTATATTGGTAACATGGAAATGTCTTCTAAATGTATTGTTGAGTTGTTGTTTCCCTGAAGGCCTGCTTGCCTTTGATAATGCGTGTTATCCTAGGGATTTAGATGAAGCCTTGTTGGTACTCTAGGCCTCATCCATTACCCTTGGTCTGAGTGGGGCAGAGAGGAGTGAATCTGTTGAAAAGGACTACGAATCAGCCTACTGTTAGTGTGAACTGTATTTGACCTAGGTCTGATAGCAAGCTTCATCCTCTAGCTTTTGGGGTGAACTTTATTGCTATTTGGAGACTTATTTTGTTATCATCTCTGATAATTTCATCAACTATTGGTATTTCTAAAAATGAAATCCCACTTTTTTAATGTGGTATTTATTTAGAGAAGCCAGTTTTTATAAGCATGCTTCTTATTTTTTCCCCCCAAATGTGTCTGGGAACATACTTTGTGTTATAATTCATAAACTAGCATATCTTCAAAGATTGCTAATTCTTTTAAATTCCTAATTTTTTTTGAGTCAAAGACATTTATTATTGTACCATTGTGTGCTTAAAATATTGAACTTAGTGGTATCTGAGATTTAAAAGTGGATGTAAAAAGAAGTCATCTTCTTAAATGTAGTTTAAAATATAGATTGATTCATTGTACTCTGAAGAGAAAGTCCAATTACATTTCTTTCAAATCTGTCAATGGTCGTGAACCAGTGTTCTGCCTTGGTTCATCTAATTTCCATAATTAGTATTTACTGCTATATCATATAGCAGTTTGTTAGTGTTAGTTCTGAAAAGCTAATATTGTGATCAGTTCTTATATACAAATGAGAACTCTAGAAATGAATCTCCTTTTTCTTTTAAAATTAGTAATCATTTAAAAGTTTATAGAATTTAATGTACACATTTAATTATAATTTTCAAAAGTTATAGGGTTACAAAATCAGTATATTAATAAAACACAACCTGTTTTTGTATTAATTTACTGGAAGTGTCTTCATATATTTTTTTCCTCCTCAACAGGTAAAGTACCTTTTATTCATGTAGGAAATCAAGTAGTATCAGAACTTGGTCCAATAGTCCAATTCGTTAAAGCCAAGGTAATAAAAAAGATATTAAATATATTTGATCACAGTTAGTCTTTTTTTAAAAATTTTATTTATTTATTTGTTTATTTAATTTTTAGATCACAGTCTTAAATAAGTCATTCATCATTCTTTAATGTGTCTTAATATTTGTATTGATTTTAACCTAGTTTTTAAAAAATGCCAATATAAACTAGTAGAGAAATATTTCTAAAGTATAAGTTTTTTCCTCCATAATGTAAATCAATGGCAAAAGATGTAATTTGGTCTTTACAAAATGGTAGATAATTTTCTAACTTGCAATTAATGAGAGTTTTGGTCATAAATGAAAATTTAGGTTGTTATAAAATGTCAGGTTAACCTTTGAGAGAGAGATACAGAATATATTTAGAAGTTGAACATATTAATATATACATTTGAGTTCAGTATAAAGGACAACCCCCATTAACATTTTGGGGAACATCCTTCCAGACTTTTCTCTTTGCATATACAGAAAAATGTAGATCATGCTATTATGTGCTATTTTGTAACCTGCCTTTTAAAATCATAAATATGTTTGGAAATTCTTCCATGTTAATGACTATAGAAATATATTATCCTTTTAAGTTGTTGTATAGTATTTTATTGTGTGGATGTATTGTAATTTATTTACTTAAGCCTTTATCAGTGGACACATAAATTGTCAGTGTTTGGCTCTTATTATGTGTTAAGATAAATATTCTTCTACAGACACCTTTGTACACTTGTCAGATTATCTCCTTTGGATAGATTCCTAAGAGTGATGCTGAAATATTAAAAGATACTCATTTTTAAAAATCTTACCACAGATGGCTGGATTGAACTAAAGGGTTATACCATTTTATGGATCTACTCATTATTATAGTATATTAGAATTTTAAAATTAGTGTCTATTTCCCTATACATTTACTAACATTTTCTTTCCATCTTTGACCACTTTATAAGCAACACATGTCAATCTTTTGGCATTTGTTTTATTACTAATAAGGTTAGTCTCTTAAAAAAAATAAGATTTACTGACCATTCTGTTTTCTTCTATTGTGAAATGATAATATAATTTTGTCCATTGAAAGATACATTTTTATAGTGGCATATAAATACTGCTTATTAATATTTTATAGTGATAGATTATTAACTTTTTTCATGTATAATTTTAGAGATATTTCAGAAGTTTATTAGACATTTATAGTAAAAACATTGATGTAGATAAAACATTTATATTCACTCAGTAGTAAGATAACTGAAAGTTTTTGTCTATTTAATATGATGCTCTTTTAAATTTTTTTAAATTCCCTTTAGGGCCATTCTCTTAGTGATGGGCTGGATGAAGTCCAAAAAGCAGAAATGAAAGCCTACATGGAATTAGTCAACAATATGCTGTTGACTGCAGAGGTATACTAGAAGATAATAGGCCTTGAAAAGAAACTTTCCTCTTACAAACGATCATCTTTCTTATGGGTTATTGAGAAATAGGAATATAGTCAAGCAATTCTAGGGCTAGGATGGTTACTGAAATTATTTGGTTATTATGTTGAACAAGTTGTCTGACATTTACAGGTCTAGTTTTTCTGTTGGTAAAAAGGAGTGATTCTTGTCCACTCATTATTTGACTTTGGCCTTGGGAGGTTTACTTAAATAATATCTCTAAAATAGTTTAATGGTATTTAGAGATGTACTACTTTATGAATAGGAAATGCTTTTATTAAGTATTATCATTAATTAAATTTAATAATTCTGTATAGCAATATTAGCCAGAGGAGGGAAAACTCTCATATATGTGACTTTTATAAAGTTGGTTTATAAAAAATCACTATGGCAAGAAATAATTTTCTTTATCCATTTTCTTTTTGGTATTCTAAAGTTTTAGTGACTGTTCTTTTGTTCCTAGTTGTATCTTCAGTGGTGTGATGAAGCTACAGTAGGGGAGGTGAGTGGTTCTGTAGCATTTATCTTAATTAAAATTTAATGAGAAAACACTTTTGCTCAGAATCGTAAGTCCCTGCTCATAAATGAAACATTGTGGTTTATACCATTAGTGATATAGTTTTTCACTTACTTTAATTTTGCTTGCACATACATTTTAGGGAAGCTATGTGTCATTGTTTGATGTAACTGGTTGCAAAGTACATAAAAGTTTATATATTTTTAAAGGGAATGGTTTGAAATTTTAATTTTTTAGATTGCAAGCTATGTATTTTTTTCAGATTGCTGTATTTGTGTTCTGAACATATATTTTCCTAAGAATTCTGTTTGTAAAAACAGGCTTTGTTTTTAGAATCATGTTTGTCACAAAATCTTTTTGCTCTAGATTACTCATGCCAGATACGGCTCTCCTTACCCTTGGCCTCTGAATCATATTTTGGCTTATCAGAAACAGTGGGAAGTCAAACGTAAGATGAAAGCTATTGGATGGGGTAACAAGACTCTGGACCAGGTGAATCCAGATAGTTCAGATTGAAGTAGGGGGTTGCCTCAACTTTAATGCATTAAGAAATTCATGTTTTATATTTATAATTTATATATTTTTATATATAATTAAAAAAATAATTTTATGTATAATTATATTTTATATATAATATATATTTTATATTGCACATACATTTTAGGGAAGCTATATGTCATTGTTTGATGTAACTGGTTATATAATATAATATAAAATATATTATATAAAATTATATATTTTATATATAATTTTATATATAGTTATAATTTATATTATATTTCTATTAAATTCATGTTATATTTCATCTTTAAAAATCTCAGCACAATAAAAAAATTAGGAAAACATTTACTCTTATTTTTTTCTGACATGAAGTGAGTTTTGTTTTATAAAAATCATACATGCTTATTATAAAACAAATTATCTAATACAGAAAAGTTCAAAAAGGAAATAGAAATTGCTTGAGATCCTATCATCTAGAAATTGCCACTGCTAACTTTTTGGAGAACATTCTTCTAGCTGTCTCTGAATAACGTTTTCCTTAAATGGGATCTTATACCTGCCACTCTGTAATCTAATTTTTTTCTATTCACCAATATACTGTGGGCATCTATGTCAATAAATATAGATCTGCAGCATCAGGGCTTTAAAAAACCCTGTTATATACAGCTCTTAATATATCTTTTTGTTTGTTTTAAATTTATTGAAATAGCAAAATTAGAAAATTATATAGCTTTTCAAGGTCATGAGATTGAACTAATTCAATCATTAATAATGTTTCTTTTCCAAGGCTACTTGGAGTCTTAGCCAGCCAGTTTACTGCTGTGTGCCATTGACCACACTGGGGATTGGGGAAATGAATAGGGATCGAGTAAATAAAATCCATCTCCACTAGTGGGAAAACAACTCAAATGCTTTTACTCATGGTGGGTCAGCAGCAGTGTTACCATTATGAAGCAGCTTTTTTAAAATATGTAAAGTCATTTGAAGCTATGGATTCAGGAAAACATTTTTTTGTAGGGGGTAGAGTTTTGAGGTAGAAACTTTCTTAATAGTAATCCTTATAAGTAACTTAAATGTGCTTGTGTTTAAAGGAAGTTTTCTCTCAAATTTTCTTCTTATTTCTTATATAGAAAGTATTACTTATGTTCTATATGTGTTCTATAGCCTGATTCTAAATATATGGTAAAAGGTTACCTAAATTTACATTTTTGTTATAAGCTGTGATACAAATTAAATTTTAGACATTGTTTTGCTAATTTAAATGTTTTCCTTTGGGTCTATTGCCTATGTTAGGTCTTAGAAGATGTAGACCAGTGCTGTCAGGCGCTTTCTCAAAGACTGGGAACACAACCATATTTCTTCAATAAGCAGTAAGAAACTTTTTCTTTTTTTATTTAGTTTCTTTTCTATATTGTTAGATTACAGACTTATTTTGCCATAGAGGAATTGTTTTATCAAGAAATATTTTTGATAAGATTTTGTTTTATTTTTCATTTTTGCCCTCATTAAACATTTACTTAGCACTTCTTGGTTATCAGGCACAGCTCTAGGCTCTGGGATACTAACATTTCTGAAATGCGGTCCTTGCCGTTAAAAATTCTTAAGGGCAGACGTGTAAACCAGTCATTATTTTATGATATGATAGAGGTACTGCTATCTATGTGTATGTGCTGTGTATGGAACTACATCATCTTAACAAAATTCCACACTTGGAAAATGCTGTTAAAACATGAAGTCTAACCATACTTGTTTTTACAGGGTGATACCCTGGGGACCAGAAAAGTGAATAAAACTAAACAGTTATCAGTTTTGTTGGATGGACAAGCACTGTTACAAACTTATCTTTTAAAAGTTAATGAAAACTTTTATAAAGCACAGAAATTAGTATAAAGGATATGGATTAAATGTATATGTACATATATCTAAGTTGAATAATTCATTAAGACAATTATTTTGTAATCTGGAAAAGAATATCTAATATAGGCAAAGAATGAATTTCCCCTTTTTAAAAAAAAAAGTTACAGTTTTAATATATTAGAATCATCCTGTGATTCAGTTTAAGATGGGTTTAAATTAACATTTTTTTTTTTAAGATTTTTATTTATTTATTTGGCAGACAGAGATCACAAGTAGGCAGAGAGGCAGGCAGAGAGAGAGAGGGGGAAACAGGCTTCCCGCTGAGTAGAGAACCTGATACAGGAGTTGATACCAGGACCCTGGGATCATGACCTGAGCTGAAGGCAAAGGCTTTTTAACCCACTGAGCCACCCAGGCACCCTAAATTAACATTTTAATCTTAATGTTTTACTTAGAAATTCTAGCCTTTTCTTGGCTATGTAGCAAAAATTTTCCTTTTTAATTTTTAAATAAACATATAATGTATTTTTATCCCCAAGGGTACAAAGTCTGTGAATCACCAGGTTTGCACATTTCACAGCACTCACCATAGCACATACCCTCCCCAATGTCCATATCCCCACCCCCTTCTCCCGACCCCACTCCCCCCAGCAACCCTCAGTCTGTTTTTTGAGATTGAGTCTTTTATGGTTTGTTTCCCTCCTGATCTCATCTTCTTTCATTTTTTCTTTTCCTACCCCACCAAACCCCCCATGTTGCATCTCCACTTCCTCATATCAGGGAGATCATATGATAGTTGTCTTTCTCTGATTGACTTATTTCGCTAAGCATAATACCCTCTAGTTCCATCCACGTCATCACAAATGGCAAGATTTCATTTCTTTTGATGACTGCATAGTATTCCATTGTATATATATATACCACATCTTCTTTATCCATTCATCTGTTGATGGACATCTAGGTTCTTTCCATAGTTTGGCTATTGTGGACATTGCTGCTATAAACATTCGGGTGCCCGTGCCCCTTCGGAGCACCACATTTGTATCTTTAGGGTATATACCCAGTAGTGCAATCGTTGGGTCATAGGGTAGCTCTATTTTCAGTTTTTTGAGGAACCTCCACACTGTTTTCCAGAGTGGTTGCATCAGCTTGCAATAATTTTTTAAAAGGTTTATTTGCTATTATTTTATCTTTATAGGCATTCATCTTCTGTAACCATATCATACATCTTTTGTTAGAGATATTAATTAGTAGCAAAAATGACAATGATGATAGCTTAGAAACATTTGTCATATTAATGTATACTATGTATAACTGAAATTTGGGGTCCTGATTACTGAAGCACAAAGGTCATAGGATTCAAACCATGAAATCCTGGTAGGTAAAGCTTCTCCAGCTATGTTCCTAGTTCTAGTGATGTCTGCTATGCAGAGTCAATTTGTTTAGTCTCTAACACAAAAGAAATGTATCTACATATTAGTGCCAAGTCGTTCCTTTTTCTTGGTGGTAAAGGAATTCTTAGGGCTTAAAAAGCCCAGAAGAGGTGTGTTTTATCCTATGAAGTGCATCATTGTGTGTTAGGAGTTAGTTTTGTTATGCATGCTGTCTTCATGGGAGGCCAGGAGAGTATATCTGACTTATTTTTCTCATTTCATTCATAACCAGGTATCATGCAGCATGTGATTTAGTGGAAATATCAAAACAGATTTTTTTTTTCTTATAAGATTACAGTTATATTTAAGCTCATAATGAGAAACTGAACATTTAGAACAAGCATAAAACCAAAGATTTGCTATGGAAGAACCGTATTAAGATGTAGGTTTTTGAAATAATTTTACCTTGTATGAGACTTACATAAATGTTTTCCTCTAATGATTGAAAAATAGATTCATTTTTTAATTTTAGTTTTATCCCATTGTCTAACTGTGATTAGGAAAAAGTCATTTGTATTTTTACTTTAATGTGACAGAATTTTTCTCATTTTTTTATCTGTCAGGAATCATTACTTTGTGAGATACTGTACTTTAGTGACTAGAGCGCTGGCTTAAGTCTAGATAATGTAGTATTGGATTCCAGGTCAGTGGCCCTGAATTGTGTTCTTGGCTCTGATATATACCTGACTTTTGCAAGTTACTTTATTTCCCTGTGTATCTTTCCCTTACCCTCTAAAAGTAGAATAAATTTTTCTCCTAGCTAACCTTGTGGGGATGTCAAGGAGAGGAGTCATAGAAGAAACCCAGTAGTTTTACTTGATGATTCAAGGGGAATGGGTAGATGAGGGAGATCCTGCAGCAAGAATAGGAATTGGGAAAAGAGGACAAAGAAGATAAATGGTGGAAAGAAAAAATTAGAAAAGTGAAAGAGTGAAAGAAATCAGAATAAGATAGATACTAACACCGGTGGCCTTTTTTTTTTAATCTTTTATAATAATGTGGTTGGTAGCTTTTAAATATTTCAATCATATTTCTGAAATGAAACTAAAACAAAATCTCTATTTTCTGTTGTATACAAGGTATCTTACTGATGTGATATCTGTTGAGATACCTATCCAAAAGCTACTAGATCCTTTGTTCTTTTTCATGTGGTGAGCATGAACTTGGAATGAAAAAGTAAAACTTTTCTTACAGTGTTATTTTTATGTTACCTTTTCCCCCCTATGTTTAATCAGGATAGAATGAATGATACCATTGTAAAGCATTTATGAGCTCCTTACAGGTCTGTGTAAATAAAACCTTGTTAGCAGAGGATCAGTGAGTGTTGGTTAAAAGTCACTCAAATTGAGAAATTGGAAGAGGGCTTATTTTTGAGAAACAAAGTTCTGCACAAACTATTAAATGGTAAAACTTGAAAATATACCTTCATATACTGATGAGAAAGGGTATTGAGGAAATGCTGCAAAAATTAAACATGGGAATCTTAAGATGAAAAATTTCAGGGAAGAATTGGATTTTACTGAGGTTTGTTCAATAAAGAAATTACCAGTTGAGAAATTGAATCAGTAATCAACCAACAAAAGTCCCAAGACCAGACAGTTTCACAGGTGAATTCTACCAGACATTTAAAGAAGAGTTAATACCTGTTCTTTTTTTTTTTTTTTTTTTTTTTTTTTTAGGTTTTACTTATTTATCTGACAGAGAGCGATCACAAGCAGGCAGAGAAGCAGGCAGGGAGAGAGGGGGAAGCAGGCTCTCCCCGCTGAACAGAGAGCCTGATGTGGGGCTCGATCCCAGGACCCCGGGATCATGACCCAAGCCGAAGGCAGAGGCTTTAACCCACTGAGCCACCCAGGTGCCCCAATACCTGTTCTTTTTAACCTATTCCAAAATATAGAAGAGGAAGGAAAACTTCCAAATTCATTCTATAAGGAAAACATTATTCTGATACCAAAACCAGGCAAAGATACTACAAAAAAAAATAAAGAAAAAAGAAAACTAGGTAGTATCTGTGATGAGCATCGATGCAGAAATCCTCAACAAAATATTAGCAAACTGAATTCAGTAGTATATTAAAAGGATCATTCACCATGATTAAGTGGGATTACTTTATTTATTTTTTTAAAAGATTTTATTTCTTTGGCAGAGAGAGACGGCGAGAGAGGGAACATAATCAGGGGGAGTGGGAGAGGGAGAAGCAGGCTTCCCACTGAGCAGGGAGCCCAACGCGCGGAGCTCGATCCCAGGACCCTGGGATCACGACCTGAGTCAAAGGCAGATGCTTAACAACTGAGCCACCCCAGGCACCCCTATTTTATTTTTTTTAAAGATTTGTTTGTTTGAGAGAGAGAGAGAGAGAGTGTGTGTGCACATGTGAGCAGGGTGAGGGGCAAAAGGAGAGGGAGAGAGAAATTCTGAAGCAGACTCCCTGCTGGGTGTGGAGCCCGACTCAACTCGGGCCTTGATCTCTTGACCCCAAGATCATGACCTGAACTGAAATCAAGAGTGGACACTTGACTGACTGATCCACCACCCAGGCGCCCCAAGATTAAGTGGGATTTATTCCATGGATGCGAGGGTAGTTCACTATTCTCAAATCAGTCAGTATAATGTATCATGGTAATAAGAGGAAGGATAAAAACTGTATGATTATCTCAATAGATTCAGAAAAGGCATTTAACAAAAAATACAGCATCTCTTTATGATAAAAACTCAACAAAGTGGGCACAGAGGGAACATACCTCGATATAATAAATGCCATATATGAAAAATCTAACATATTCAGTGGTGAAAAACACAGTTTTTCCTTTAAGATCAGGAACAAGGCAAGAATATCCATTCCCACCACTTATATTCAACATAGTACTGGAAGTCCTAGCTGTGTCAGTCAGATAAGAAAAGGATTTAAAAGGCATCAGATTGTTAAGGAAGAAGTAAAACTGTCACTATTTGCAGATGACATGATAATATATATAGAAAATCGTAAAAACCCCATCAGAAAACTATTAGAACTCATAAATGAATTCAGTAAAGTTGTAGGATACAAAACTAATATATAGAAATCTGTTGCATTTCTGTACACTAACAGACTAACAGAGAAACTAAGAATTTACAATTACAACAAAAAGAATGAAACTACCAAGGAATAAATTTAACCAGAGAGGTGAAAAACCTGTACTATGAAAACTAAGGGACATTGAAGAAAGAAATTTAATATGACGCAAATGGAAAGATATACCATGCTCATGGATTTGAAGAATTAATATTGTTAAAAATGTCCATACTTCCCAAGTAATTTACGGATTGAATGCAGTCCCTATCAAAACACCAATAATACTTTTCACAGAACTAGAACAAATATATCCAAAGTATGTGTGGAACCACAAAAAACCTCAAATAGCCGAAGCAATCTTGAGAAAGAAGAACACAGCTGGAAGTATCATAACCCCAGATTTCAAGATATACTACTAATCTACAGTAATCAAAACACTATGTCATGGAAAAAAGTAAAGCATAGGGAATATAGTCCATAATATTGTAGTAATGTTGTGTGGTGACTCTGGTTATTGTGAGCATTGAGTATTGTATAGAGTGGTTGAATCAGTATGTTGTACATCTGAAGCTAATCTAGCATTGTGTATCAATTATACTTTTTTTTAAAAGATTTTATTTATTTATTTGACAGATCACAAATAGGGAGAGAGGCAGGCAGAGAGGGGGAAGCAGACTCCCCACTGAGCAGAGAGCCTGTTGTGGGTTTCAGTCCCAGGACCCTGAGATCACGATCTGAGCTGAAGGCAGAGGCTTAACCCATTGAGCCACCCAGGTTCCCCTCAATTATACTTTAATAATTTTAAAATTTAAATTTTAAGATACTTTAATAATTTTAAAAATCACCATTTGAGGGTGATCCCAGAGTCCTGGGATCGAGCCCCTCATCGCATCGGGCTCTCTGCTCAGCGGGGAGCCTGCTTGCCTTTCTCTCTGCCTGCCTCTCTGCCTACTTGTGATCTCTGTCTGTCAAATAAATGAATAAATCTTTTTTTTTTTTTTAAATCACCACTTGAGGGGCACCTGGGTGGCTCAGTGGGTTAAGGCCTCTGCCTTCAGCTCAGGTCATGATCCTGGGGTCCGGGATCGAGTCCCGCGTCGGGCTCTCTGCTCGGCGGGGAGCCTGCTTCCCTCTCTCTCTCTCTCTCTGCCTGCTTCTCTGACTGCTTGTGATCTCTGTCAAATAAATAAATAAAATCTTAAAAAAAAAAATCACCACTTGAGAAAATTGAGTAATTTGTTGCTCAAATTGAAATTGCTCAAAATTTCAGAGGCAAAAATATAAAAAAAAGACTGATGGCAAAGGACTTGATTTACAAACTTGAATGACAGTCCTAAGATCAATGATTGGTATATAAAGAGGGAATATGTAAATTACTCCTAATATTGTGAAAACATGGCAAGTTAATAGTGTAAGGGAAGGAAAAATTACTGAACAGAGACAATATTAATGTTTTTGAAACTTGACTGACTATGAAAGGTATCAGAAATAGGCAATCATGATAAAGCAAAAAAGTTGAGTATAGCAAAATTTTAAATGGGAAAGATTAGGAAAACATTTACATTTTACAGGATTTTTATTTTGATATTCAAATGAAAGAACAGTAGATAACTGATGGATATTAGCTGGACCTTTTGGTATAATCATTTCATAATACATGTAAATCACACCCAACTGTGCTGTATACCTTAAACTTACACAGTGATACTTGTCAATTATTTCTCAATAAAACTAGGGAAAAAAAGAATAGTGATAGCCATTGAAAATGTGGAAAGAATGATAATGCAAGATAAGACAACACATTTCTTAGGTTCTTAAAAATGTATTTATGATCCTGGAGTATTTTTCTAATAAAAGGTCTATAAAGATAGATGTAATATATATATGAAAGATCTTAAAAGTCTTAGGAGGAGAGTTGCTATCAGTATTAAAATTTCAACCCACTACTTAGCATAAGAATGGAAATGTTAGTTCTCTCTTTTTGTGGTATAGGAAAGGTAATTAAAAACTGGATTGTTAATCAAGATCTTGGCTTGATTAAACAATTCAGTACAAATATTGGACAAAGTGTGTTTTTTTTGTTGTTCTTGTCTCACATGAATTGCAAGTATTTTTCGGAGTTTATTGCTTTTTTAAAAAAATCAGGTTTATTGTATTTACACATGCTAATATTGACACCATTTTATGTTTATAGCTCTGAGTTTTAGTAGTGGTATGCAGTTGTAGAACCACTACCATAAGTGTACTTTTAAAAAGAAAAAAAAAACTTTTAAAAAGAAAGAATTATAGGAATGGGTTATTTATATATTTCATATATATATATAAATTAATATAAGTAATTGCTGAAATTTGTAAGAATTACAAAAAATATGCATTAGAAGTTATATATGTGTGTTTCATTTGATTTAGTATATTGTGTTATACTTCCTGTTAGGTGTTCTACAGTAACTTGCCACCCAGTTGTTGTCTTTATGTAACATGAGAGCCATTGCTCTGTGCTCATTACCCATATAATTCAGCACCTTTGGAGTTACATGGATGTACATTTGCAGCAAGTAACATTTTGTCCGCTTCAGGGTTACTTCTAGACCACTGTAGTTTGAATATACATTTATACTTGAACTCCTTCAGATCCTTCATTTAATGATAAAGGATGCCCATCTATATTATTGGAAGTTGCATCAGGAAATAAATTCACTTTTTTTTTTTTTTAAGATTTTTATTTATTTATTTGACAGAGATGACAAGTAGGCAGAGAGGTGGGTGGGAGGGGAAGCGGGGCTCGATCCCACGACCCTGGGATCATGACCTGAGCCGAAGGCAGCCACTCAGCTGACTGAGCCACCCAGGTGCCCCTCAAGTAGAGATGTTATGTAGACATTCAAATGTATGATTCTGGACTTTAGGAGAGGGACTGGGATTGGAGATAAATTATTGGGCAATTAGTGGCATAAAGACATATTTAAAGCCATGCAGCAGGATGAGGTCATTCATTATTAGTGATTAAGACCACATAGGTAGGGGCGCCTGGGTGGCTCAGTGGGTTAAGCCTCTGCCTTCAGCTCAGGTCATGATCCCGGGGTCCTGGGATCGAGCCCCGCATCAGGCTCTCTGCTCAGCAGGGAGCCTGCTTCCTTCCTCTGTCTCTGCCTGCCTCTCTGCCTACTTGTGATCTCTCTCTGTCAAGTAAATAAATAAAAATCTTAAAAAAAAAAAAAAAAAAAAGACCACATAGGTAGTAAGTGGCAGTTAGGATTCAAACTTAGATTTGAGGGACCCCCAATTCTGTCCTTCCAAACCAGATTACTGAAACATACTTTCACATTTAGGTAGGCTAACACATATTTTCTTAAAAATTTTATCATTATGGGACTGATAGCAATAATAGTTCATAATTACGGTGATATTTTAAAATACAGTAGTATTTTAATACAGTATATTATAAAATACAGTAGTATTTTAATATTATTGACAATTATTTTAATATAATGTAGTTTAGTGATGCCTCATCTATAGACCACTAGTAGTGAGGTAGATAAATTTCAATTTTTTGTTACTAACACATAATTAAAGGAAAAAAAAAACCCTAGAAATTTTTTTGTTGAAGATATCTTTACTTCTCCTTCAGAAAGCTAGATTATTGGGGCGCCTAGGTGGCTCTTGGTTAAGTGACTGCTTTCGACTCAGTCATGATCTCATGGGTCCTGAGATTGAACTCCTCATTGGGCTCTGAGCTCAGAGGGGAGTCTGCTTGAGATTTTCTCCTCTCCATTTCCCACCCCCTTCCCCATCTCAAAATAAATAAATAAATAAATTTTAAAAAGCTAAATTATTTTAAAAGTGGTAAAGTTAAAACTAAATCATGTTGTTAATACATTATTTGGGTAATCAAGTGTCATTTGTCCTAGCACCACAGTGAAATCCTTTGCTTTGATACCATTTTGGTTTTGCTTCTATTAAAACACTTAATAAATTGTGTTGTAATTTATGTTTTGTGTCCATGTCTCAGGATATCTTTCACGTTCTTACATCTCTATCATCTAAGCACAGTTCCTGGCACGTTGAAGACCTATTGTATTTATGTAGTGAATAAATTAACGAATAAAATGAGTATGATCAGTTACACCAGTATTACTTTAATGCATTACCACTTTAAAAAGCAAGTCACACAAGCAGCAAATTATCATTTAAAAGGTTTTTTTTCCCCATATCTTACAACAGAAACTCCAAGTTAAAAACAAAATAAACTCAAGTTGAGGTAGGATTTATTTTTGTGACTTTTTCTTTTAAATAGAGGAATAAAATGTTTGTTTGTTTGTTTTTTTAAGATGTTATTTATTTATTTGACAGACAGAGATCACAAGTAGGCTGAGAGGCAGGGAGAGAGAGAGAGGTGGAAGCAGGCTCCCCACTAAGCAGAGAGCCCAATGCGGGGCTCGATCCCAGGACCCTGGGATCATGACCTGAGCCGAAGGCAGAGGCTTTAACCCACTGAGCCACCCAGGCGCCCCGAGGAATAAAATGTTTTAAAAAGTAGTGTATATTCTGCCATACAAGTTAAATGCCATTCAAGTTACTTTCCTTTCTACTTTTGTTTTAGGCCTACTGAACTAGATGCACTGGTATTTGGCCATTTGTATACCATTCTTACCACACAGTTGACCAATGATGAACTTTCTGAGAAGGTGAAAAACTATAGCAACCTCCTTGCTTTCTGTAGAAGAATTGAACAGCGCTATTTTGAAGATCGTGGTAAAGGCAGCTCATGTATCAGATCATCTTAGAGATAATGTCTTAATTTAGCCATTATTTTTAAAAAAAAACTTAACTTGAGCTATGTTACTTGAAAGTTACAGTAAGTAATGGTATTGGAATTTTAAAACCAAAAACACTGCTGTTTGAAACCTCAGAATAAATTATATAATGCATCCTATGCATGTACTTTATACTGGTAAAATAATTCTGGAATGATTTCATTTGATATGTTGTACTCGATATCTTGAAATTTTTGTTTTCTTGAAACATGTATGCATATAAAAATAAAGCTCAAAGAACTATATGGCTGGTGTATTTACTTCTGTTTGATCTTTTTGAAGCCACTCAGAGCTTTTATACATGGAATAAACTGTCTTTTCTAAGGCAGAGAATTTGTGTTCCATACTTTTAAGATGACTTTAAGAGATACATGGTGAACCTGGGCATGGGAAAATTGTTCTTTACAAGTATGCACTTAGAAAATGTAAATAATTACAAAGCAGTTAAATCCTGGAACAGATTACCATTTAAGAGCATTCTTCATATTTAAACCTAATTGAATTTGTAAACATTTCATCAGAGCAGCTATATTTTTATATTTGGTAAAGGGATAGTTTCAGAGACCTTATTTTTTTGAGTCAAGAACATTTTAATAATATTTTATTTCTCTTGTGGGGAAGGTGGGAGTATAGTTTTCACAGAGGTATCAACAAGAATTTCTGTATAAGCACTAAGGATCATACGTTTTGTCCTTTTCAATTTTTTTAATATTTTGTAAAAAACCAAGTATGCTTTAAAGAGATGTGAAAATCATGTCATTTAAAAAATATATATATCTAGAATAATAGTACTTTTATATTTTCTTTTTATGTAACATCAGGCATTTTTACCTCATTTAATCCTTACTAAGACACTATGATAGATAATATTCCCAGTTTACAGAGGAAGGAATGGTAGACAGAAAGCATAGTGTCTTGCCCAAGGTCATAGAGCTAGCAAGTAGTAGAGTCAGAATTCAAACATTGGCAGTCTGGGGCGCCTGGGTGGCTCAGTGGGTTAAGCCGCTGCCTTCGGCTCAGGTCATGATCTCAGGGTCCTGGGATCGAGTCCCGCATCAGGCTCTCTGCTCCGCAGGGAGCCTGCTTCTTTCTCTCTCTGCCTGCCTCTCTGTCTACTTGTGATCTTTCTCTGTCAAATAAATAAATAAAATCTTAAAAAAAAAAAAAAAAAAAACATTGGCAGTCTGGCATCTGGTTTGGCTTTTAGTGAATACATTGTTTTTTGTTAAAATTATAGATTTATACCATATAAGGGATATATTAGGTTCACCTTAGTCTAAATCCCATATAAACTTTGGGTAATCTCTTTGGACTATAGTGCTATTTATATAGCTTTCCTAAACTAAATAGTTTTCTAATGTGTATTATTAAAAAATGCCAAGTTACCCGTGTTTTTGCAGAACTCTTATGATGGTTTTTTTGGGGGGGTATATATTTTTGTATATTTGTTTTGTACTTAATGATCCCTTTTTCTTTTTACAGTAACATTCATTTAATTGAACCCAAACCATTTGTACTTCATTATATGAAATCTAGACTTTTTTCTTTGAGTTTTTTTGGATATTAAGATATTCCATAAAAATAAGTTGTGGTATTTTTATCTTTACTATTTGGCTGTATTCTTATTTTAAAATGAGGAACATTGGGAGATAATGGTTATCATTCCAAGTTGGGTTATTTACTCTTCCTTAAGACTTACTGTATCTATGAGTCACTCTGGGAGGTCTTGTTTTTCTCTAGCGTGGAGTAAATCACCATCAAAACAATGCATTAGAAAGTAGAAACCTTGATTATCCTATATGGTGATATCCTATTATACTTCCTTTTATCTTTTAAATTTGGGTCCACAAAGCCAATTCATGTAGCTAAAAATGATCACTGAAAAGCTAGTTTGCTGTCTAAAAAGTTAAATGTTTTACTGCCAAAATACTTAACGTGTGTACTGAATTTGAGAATAACTAGCATGATCCTTTATTTGAATTAAAATTTATTTATTTATTTATCTATCTATCTATCTATTTATTTATTTGACAGAGAGAGAGAGACAGCAAGAGAGGGAACACAAGCAAGGGGAGTGGGAGAGGGAGAAGCAGACTTCCTGCCAAGCAGGGAGCCAGATGCGGGGCTGGCCCAGGACCTCAGAATCACCACCTAAGAGACGCTTAACGACTGAGCCACCCAGGCGCCCCTATTTAAACTAAAATTTAAATCATGAGTAGTGAGAAAGTTTTAAATCAAGGTAGAGACAGTCCACAGTGTCATTTGATGGCTTCTGAATGATGTGCATTATTGGGTTTAGCATATCTTCTATGAAAACCTTTAGAACAACTTGTTACTTTTCAGTTGACTATTGGATAGGTAGACATGGTATTAATTCATTAGGAACCCAAATCCAGGAAAAGTAGTATAAAATGTCAATCTGAGAGATTTGCTTAATGCATCTTGACACTTTTTTTTTTTTTTTAAGATTTTATTTATTTACTTGAGAGAGAGCAAAGTAGGGACAGAGGGAGAGGGGGAAACAGACTCTCCACTGAGCAGGGTGCTTGACATGGGATCCCATCCCAGCGTCCTGGGATCATGACCTGAGTCCAGGAATGCAGCCACTTAATAGACCGAGCCACCCAGTTGCCCCCATCTTGATACTTCTTTAGTGAACAGGTAGTATTTTTCTTACTGTTGTGTATGATTGTCATTTAATCATGGGCATTTAATGGGGATGGGTAGAATGTAGCTGTACATTGAGATATTTCAAGATACTGTATTCTAAAGTAAAACTTAATAACTTTTTTGAACTTATTTTAACTTACTGTTTTAAAGTATTATATAACCAGTTGTTATGAGCTAATTTATATATTTTATTGAGTCTTAAAAGGAAATGTTAAAAAGGTTGATGATGTCTAGACTGATGATAAATATTTTCCTAATCTGTTCTTAAGTTCCTAAGAATTGGGATTGGATTTCTAGCTGTAGGTTTTGTTTTGGTTTTGTTTTTTCCTTATGTTTTTGTCAAATTACAGTAATTGAATTTGTGATAAAACTGTAGTAGATTCTTTGGGATTTTCTATCTTGACAATCCTGTGTTCTGTGTCTAGGAATAGTTTTATTTAATTATTTCTAATCCATATGACTTTTGCTTTTGTATTGTTTTATTTTATTTGTTGGTTTTGCCTACAGCCCTGACTAGGACTTCTAGTATAGTTCTGACAGGAGTAGTGAGAATGGACATCTTTGCCATATTCATGATCTTAGGGGGAAAGTATTCAGTCCACTATTAAGTGTGATTGTAGGCTTTTTTAGATGCCCTTTATTAGGTTGAGAAGGTTCTTTTCTGTTTCTAGTTTGTAGAGAGTTTGTTTATGTGTGTTTAAATCATGAATGAATGGTATATTTTATCAAAGTCTTTTTCTGTACCCATTGAGATGATCATTTTTTTTTCTTTAGTGTGTGGAAATGAAGAGTTACATTTACTGATTTTCAAATGTTGAATCAGCTTTATTTTCCTGGGGTAAATCCTGTAGGATGTGATTTCCTAGATGTTGTTAAGGATTTTTGTGTCTATATTCATGAGAAATGTTGGTCTCCAGTTATCTTGTAATGCCTTGGTTTTGGTATCCTGTTAATGCTGGCCTCATTAAATGAGTCAGGATGTATTCCTTCCTCTTAGAAGAGTTTATGTTTGTATTTCTTCCTTAAGTGTTTGGTAGAATTTACCAATGCAGGCGTCTAGCCTTAGAGATTTCTTTGTTGGAAGATTTTAAACTTAAAATTTTAACTTATTTAGGTTATATGTTTCCTCTTGAGTGTGCTTCAGTGTGTTGTGTGCCTTTCCAAGGAACTTACTTTTTTCTCCACATTGTTGAATTTATGGCCATAGAGTTCTTGGTTTTCCATTATCTTTTTAATGTCTATAGCATCTGTACTAATGTCCTTTCTTTCCTTCTTCATATTTGTAATTTTTTTCTTCTCTTTTTCTTAGTCCGGTTAGAGATTTATCAATCTAATGATTGTTTTTCCAGAAATCCAGGCTTTTTATATCCTTTTATTCAAAATGTTTTTCTTATAAACAACTTAGAATTGGATCTTGGATTACTGACAGTTTCTTTTAACTGATGTGTTTAACGTATTAACATTTAAAGTAATTATTAATGTAGGTGGATTCAAATATGTCATCTTGCCAGGTACTTTTTATTTGTTCTACTTGCTCCATGTTTCTTTTAACTCTTCTTTTGGATTGTTTTTTTTTGTTTGTTTGTTTGTTTAAATGCCATTTTATCTCTACTGTTGGCATATTACTTATACATTAAAGTTTTTTTTATGCTGGTTACCCAGAGTTTACAATATATTTTTAAAATCAGAGTCTATGTTCAAGCGATATATACTAGCTTTACTCCCAGTCTGTGGCTTATCTTTTCATATTCTCAGTGATGGTTTTAGAAAAGCAGAAATTTTTAATTTTGATGAAGTCCAGTTTCTCAAATTTTTCTTTTATGGATTATGCTTTTGTTGTCATATCTAAGAAATCTTTACCTAATCAAAGTCCTAAGGATTTTCTTCTGTTTTCTTTTAGAAGTTTTATTGTTTTAGCTCTTATATCATTAAATTCTGTGTTCTGTATTGAGTTAATTTTAGTGGAATGAAGTAAGAGTCTAAATTGGGGGTTTTTTGGCCTATGGAGATACCATTGCTTTTGTTTGGCACCTTTTGTTCCATGTGAGAAACAGGGAAGAAGGATCCAGGTGGGGCTTTTGTGCCTTTACTGCAAGGGACCACAAGGGACACTTTCTTGATTCCCACCATGTCTCCAGTTTTTTTTTTTTGTTTGTTTGTTTGTTTGTTTTTTGGTTTTTTTTTTTTTGGTAAACTTCCTGTGAGGTCCTTGGACAAGAGCCTATGCGTGAATGTGAATTCTTCTTTTGTTTTTGGCCTCAAGGGTTTTAATGGTCTTTTGTGAGGCCACACTCAGCTTTTAGCAATTAATTAGAAATTTTAGCTCAGTTCTTACCGTTGACCAGTATTTTTAAAGTGAACAAATGCTTTTGTATCTTCTCTTCTTAGACTGGATTAGTTGGCCCTGTAGTCTTAGCTCTCTACTAGTCAAGAACCGAGATGAATTTGTTAGGTGGTTCATCATTATTCTAAGGATGGGAGCAATGCTCTTTTCATCTTTCTGCATTCTAAAAATGGAAATCTGGAAATCTAGGTTGCTTTTTAATCTTGAGATAAATGCTCATTTAGAATTAAA